GCAGGCGATAGCATGGTAAAAGAATTCTGGCGTATATTTTTCCGAGCTTTAGACAAGTTTACATCATGCTAGGCTATTCCTGAATTTTTTGGGAGAACTTTGTTCAAACCTTGGCTTTGTGATTCTATTTCCATTAATTCTAATCCGCTACTATCTAGTTAGTTATAATATAACCAACACTTCTTATATTATTTCCTTTCAGAAGAAATTTACAATAGGTAATCGTATGTAAAAATACAGTCTATGAAAATTTCTCTACATGGCTGTATTGGTGACCAAACAACTTTGTTAACGTTTTACCCTTTCCTCTTATCTGAATAAGTTTTGTGCTTGTTCTAGAAAAAATCTTGATCAAGGAAGTTGAGATTTCAAAAGTACTGACCTTTTCATAGAGCTTCAAAGAGGATTTTCTAACATCGCGTTTTTTCAGCTGTAGTCTCGATGAGGATAAGCGACAGGCGATCATGCAATGGGTGGACAATTGCGAGCCGCTTCTTTCTCCAGATGAAGATGAAGCTACAGGTCCTAGAGAGATACTCTCTTACCCACTTGAGGATATCATAGAGCAGGACGAGGAATCGTTGAGAGACTCAGTACGGTGAGTGGAACTGACTGTAACCTAGTTATCTAATTTCGATTTAAATACGATGAATAAATGAATGAACAAAAAGGCGAACTTCTATTACTAATAAAATGATAAATACTAAGCCGCCTATCAATTTATTTTACATTTTCAGATCGAAATGTGCTACCGATTCGCATCCATTAAGCATCCTGAGCAAAGAAGATATAGAGAAAGTTATAAGCACGGATGCAACGACACATGTGAGTCTTTTTATAGGCGTTGCTTCCAGACAGCTGTCATAATCTGCAGGACTCTCACAAAAGTTCTTTTGTTCAGGACGCTGGTTCAGACGAAGACGCTCTGGAAAGAGCTATGGCCGCATCGGTGTCATCTATACGATCACATGATATTATGGCAAAGCTCAATGAGGATATCGCTGCGGTAAGTCATTTGCTATTGAAAATGTTCAAAATTGAGGTCTGCTCATTTGTAGAAAACAAGTTCTAATAGATGAATTTTTCCCCCATTTTTTACCTCAGAAAATTCTTAGTTTTGAATATTAACAAATCTATCTCGACGAAAAATAGTCTCTCAATCCTTATACCAATGCTCAAAGTAGTTTTGAGGGATGAAAGCATAAACACATTCGAAGTTTTTGCCTGAATATGAATCGCACCGAGGAAAATCAAAGATGCGATTATAGTATCAAAAGCGAGACCAGTTCTCGTCGATTCTGTACATTACCAATGTCAGATTTTTATTACCTCATCAATTATCATTGTAGAATTTGCTATATTTAAGGATTCTGAATAAATCAACCAAGTCATCTTGCACAAAACATTACACTTTCCTTTTGCTTATTTTCCTGAGGAACTCTTACTTTCCCTTATCATTCAAAACAGAGCTTGCTTCAGGCTATGCTTTTAACTACTTTTTGAAACGGGAAATTTTAA